AAAAGGGTCCAGCACCTCCATTCAAACTTTAAGGGTCAGCAAATGAAAAAAGGTTGAAAACCACTGGCATAGAGAAAAGGGACCAATTCTTTTATTTGGCATTCAATTCACTCATAACAACAAATCAGTTTCACCCCCTAAAAACTACCCATAATCTGAGATCAAAGAAAGAATTATAGAAGTGTAAAAATAAAACAACAAGATTTTTCTATGCAATGTTTTTGAATTCACAGCCCCACAGGGGAATGGAATACTAATTGTTTTAAACAACTTAAGTAACCAAATGAGTCCTTGGAACAATTCAACAGTAAACTGCAAATTACTTATAAATTATAGTGTGAAAAATTGTTTTAGGCCTCAATTAGGCATTATAATATGAAACTGAGTAAATCATGTCATCTGATCTTGCTTTCTAGTCCACCAAAACCATCTGTTCAGGATTAAACACAATCCCAATCACTTTTGTTTCAACTTCAAGTTTCTTAAATTTTAACTAGTAAATCTGTAAATAATAGGTAACTAAAACACAGAAATAAAATCAAACCAAAGTAAACACTTAAATCCTCAAGTCAAAATTCCAGCTAACTGAATGAGCTTGAAACCAAATTTAGGCATATCTGCAAATTTAATGAGGAATTGTTAAAGGGCTGTCTCCATGATATTGTAAATTACCAGCACTCTGCTTCATACTGTTTGCACTTTTAACTGTTCAGGTCCTAAGGCAGTTGGCTGGCATACTGTCTGGCAAAGTTAGCCACAGCAGCATACTCGTTCTTAGGAAATCAGTTAAAAAGGGCCAAAAAATCATACCAATCAGTGTTTAAATATAAGGTGAGATTCTTAAACCTGCATGCCTGCCAAATCCAAAGTATTGTTACAAGGAACTTCCTTTTTTCTTACCAAATGTCAGCTTCAGTCATTTTGCCCTTCAAGCTTTTTTGTTACAATAGGACAAAATGTACAGAATCGATTTCATTTCAAATTAAAAAAAGTTTCTTTTTGAGTGTAGACCAGGCCTGTAAAATTTCAGTCCAGAAGCTTGAATGTTTTCATAATGTTGAGTGAATGAAAAGAGGACTAAAGGAAACATTTAGATAACCTTAAATACCACTGTTAGGAGAGCTCCAGCTACGCAACCCACCGCTACTTTAAATGATGATGTGCAGTGTCTCTGGTAGGCAGATCATAGAGGGTGTGAAAAACTAATGCATTACAGCAAGGTTTTCAAAAAGATGGAGTCACATAATTTAGGAAACAAAATGGCTCTCTCCTGCCCCTTGAAACCAGAATTGTTTTCAATTCTAGGTATCAAACGTGGGAATTACCATAGTTCAATTCATCTAGGGGAAAATGCAGTTGTAGTTCAGAGACTGAGCTTCTAAATCTCTACTTCTAGCTTCTCTAAATCTAGCTTTGTTACTACAGGTAGTAAATGCTATCCAGGAAAACACTACCTAGGAGTTATCTTTCCCTTTTTTACAAAACTAGTTGGAGTTTGTATAGAAAAGTGTAGATGCTCATGGGAATAAAATGAGTAAGATTAAAAGAAAATTACATGATTCAGCCTAATATGTCATTTTGCTGTCAAGGCTGTTACTGTTGAACGTAGACACTTCCAAAAGCTTCCAGAAAGCTCAAAGCCAGATTGGTCAACAGGGCATTGAGAATGGACAGTACAGCTATGGTCTGTTGTGTTTACAAGTCATAGAATTCTGTTGGGCTAATGAGCAGGACTGATTTAGCACTGTTTCACAATACCTTCCCGATCATGATGACTTTATTCAGATTACATTCCCATAAGAGCCACACTGACCATTTACAAGATCTGCTGTTTAGTTTACAAACTTTAGAGGGCAAAGTCTGACCTGAACTAGCAGATATTTACCTGCATTTTTCCAGTTAGAATCAATAGGAGTTTTACATGTTATCGCCCAATTTACTGCAGTAAATTCCCAACAGAAGCAATGTTTGTATTCAACAAGCAAAAAATTGCCCAATTTGAATTTAGTCAGGTTTCTGTAAATTATTTCAAAATTTGCTCTTTGAGATAAGGCTTCCTATAAATATAGTACCATTTTTCTTGTGAGACCATCAGAAAGGATTCCATTTCTCAAGGGCTTTGCAATACAGGAGCGGTAAGTTTCATTCCATATGGAAACTTTATATTTGTACCATTTTACCTTGTTTTGCATTCAGTTTTTGCCTTAGAACAAGTGATGTTTATGATGTAAAAACATATGCAGAAACTAAAACTTACTTCTGTCCCAGCCTGGTGCTGTCATGGCAGAGAGGATTTCATTTTTCTGAGTAGAAATCATCACTTTGGTAACTCTTCTGAATTGTGTGTGACCCTGAAGATCCATGTACCTGTTCCAGAGCAGTTATAAGAGGAATTTACATGATCTCTGCAGTCTTTAAAATATTGCCCAGTTTTCTGACATATACTTTCCTTCTATTACAGCCTAAATAAGTGAACAATGAAGTTCTACAATTGCATATTGTTGTTGTCCCTGGTACTGTGTGTCAGTGCCCAGAACTGGTTCACTGATGCTGGAGCATTCATAAGGGATGCTTATCTAGGTATGCTTTTTACTCACTGCATGTCCGTCATCCAAACTGTTCTCAAAAGTTATGTTTGATGAGAAAAAACATAACAAATCAGGTTTGGTTTGAAACTAAACACTCTTTTTTGGATTTCTCTGATCTTCCACTGAACCAAAAAAATCAAAATCAATATTTACTCAGCGGTATATAGGAGCCTTTCTGTGTTCTCTAGAAGCACTTTACTTGGAAGCCACAGTGGTGAAGTGACTAGAATGGAATAACATCTAAGTTTTGTTTTAAATTTGCAGTGTCTCTATAATCCTTTCTCTTCTCCAGGCGCTGGAGATATGTGGCGTGCATACAGCGACATGCGGGAGGCAAATTATAAAAATGCAGATAAATATTTCCATGCTCGTGGGAATTATGATGCTGCCCAAAGAGGGCCTGGCGGTAAATGGGCAGCAGAAGTTATTAGGTAATGGATTCTACTTGGATTATGAGTTACATGTCAGTAAAGAGCTATGCAATCAAATTACTATGAAGTACATTGTAATTCATAACTAGTTATTGTCCTGTTTGAAGTGAGGACATTTTTATTTAACCTCTGAACTGGCTAAGTGTGAAGATCATGCCCATTCTTGAGTTGTAAAGGTGATTTCTGAGCTGACCTATTTGGATATGTTCTGATATCAGATCCCATTACTATGGGCAGGGAGGCCGATGTTTTCACCAGAGGGCTTTTAAAATTTAAATAATTGCAGGACCCTCACTTTAATCTAGAACCAGTACATATTGCCCTTGGTATTTCATCCAAGAAAACTATGATCAGTGGTTCACTTGCAGTCCTCTAATGAGGATTGTTTTAAAATATTGCTGTTGAACGTGATGACTATGGTATAAAGGAGCTTATGAGGAGTGGGTAGAACTTAGTGGAGGCAAGTAATGGGAAAGCTTTTTAATTCACAACTGCTGCACTGATGCACTTCTGGGATGACCTCTGCTATTCACAGACAGGCTAAGGTTTGTGTCTTTGTTTGTGTGTGACAAGGTAGGCGAGCTAATATCTTTTATGGAACAACTTCTGTTGGTGAGATATTTGTGCGGGTCCTCAGTTATATGGAAAAGTAGTGATTAAACTGGGGAAAAAATGAAAAGTAAATAATTTAGTTATTGAGATTTAATAATAAACTGTCTCAGATAATCTTTGTTTCCTCTTTCCAGTGATGCTAGGGAAGATTGGCAGGGTGGCATTAGTGGCAGAGGAGCAGAAGACACACGTCAAGACCAGGAGGCAAATAAATGGGGCAGAAATGGAGGAGACCCAAACCGCTACAGACCAGAGGGCCTTCCCTCAAAATACTAATGCAGCCTGTAATACTTTACAGTGGTTCCATTTTTCTACCCAGTTGTGCAAAACCACAATAAATAAAATCTTAAATTTCTGAAGCTCTCAGTGAATGAACATCCTCAGCTACATTAGAAAGGATGAAAAGCAATATACATACAAATCTTTCATGATTTGGGGCCAAAGGTCACCCTTAACTGCCCGGGATTTGGAAGATTCTTCCAGATTATTTAACGATTGTCCTTTACTGGATTTGTTGCATATTCCTGGAAGCAGCGGGCACTGGCCACTGTCAGAGACAGGCTCCTGGACTATTGTGATCCATTATGATAATTCTCCTTGTTATTATTATCCCCATTTTACAGGGATATTAATGTTAATGTTGACTTGCCTAACTTCACAGGGGAGACTATAGCAGAACTAGGAATGGAGTCCAGTCCTCTGACCATAAGACCATCCTACCTGGCTAATTAGTTTGGGGCGTAAAAACCACCATACAAAGTTTTAGGTATCATGGCAAAAATAGGAATTTTGGGGGCAGGTCAGGAGGAAAGTTAACATTTGAAATGAAAGGATGAAAACACATTTTCCATGGTGCTGGGAGTCTAGGTCCACTTTAATGAGCAGTAATGGTGCTTATGTTTTAAAAGTATATATTTATTGTTGTCAGTTGGGTAAAACCTCAGAGGAATATTAGAAATTCAAAATCATGTCGGCCTAACAGTCCTGAAGAAGAGCTCTGTGCAAATCAGAAGCTTTACTCTCTTCCCCAACGGCAGTTGGTCCAATAGACATTATTGCCTCACTCACCTTGTGTCTCTAATAGCCAGGGAGCATTAGAGCTACAACAACGCTATAATTAGCCCCTAGTCCCACTCTTGAAGCAAAGATCAAACAAATTTGCAGCATGTAGTGGCGGGTTCTTAGCATGACTCTGTTCAAATAATTTTTAAGGCCTTTCCTCAATTTTTAGGGTAAAAGTGCGTAGGCAATTGGCCTCAAATCTATCACAGACAATTTGTTGGAGACAGACCAAGTCAGTTGTATCTGACAAACATTAACAGGATCTTGGGCTTATTAAAGTATCTCTCATGGTATAGAGAACATATCTATTTATAGCCTTGTTGATTAAAGCTCTGATCCAAATCCCATTGAAGCCAGAGAGAGTCCTTCCATTGGCTTCAAAGGTCTTTGGATCAGGCCTGCATATCCTATTTTGGTAAACATATGGACACTCATATTTACCAGCTACTTGAATCTGGGGATTGTAATTCATGAGTTAGGGATTTTTTTTTTTGGATGGGTAGCTATGAAAAACTTCAACCCCTTTTCTGAGTAGCTTATTTGGGCTTAGTGAAATTTACTTACTAGCACAATATTTTAGATATACTTTACACGCTGGGCCCAGCCCCTGGCCAGTCGCGTCTGGGCTGCTGCCCAGCTGGTGCTATCCCGCGGCGGCCCCAGGGCGGAGGCATCGGCAGCCCAGCCCCGTTCGTTCCCCTGCGGGACGGGGGGGCT